TCAGTTTGGCGCTGATGCAACGTCACGGGAGCGCCTGCAGAACTGTGGCTTACGCTTCCAGAGTTCTTAACGAATCCTAACAACGTTATAACAAATACAAAAAGAATCTCTGGCGTAAGTTTTTGAACGCGAAAAGACTTATCACTTCGTATACGGTCATCCCTACATTCTTGAGAGCGACCATCGTCCACTGCTCGACATATAAAAAATGGCAGCATATCCACGGAGTCAATGATGGATAGTGGGACGAAGCATCCGTCCGTCCATTCGTTCCTGCTTCCGTCCATCCATGCGTGCGTCTGTGTGGCCGCCCGTGCGTCCATCTGCCCGTCTGTGTGTGCGTTTGTTCGTGTGTCCGCACGTTCATCTGTGCGTCCGTCCCTGCTTCGTCCATGCATCCGCTCTTGCATCCGTCCATGCGTCTTTCCGTCCATGCAGCCATCCGTGCGTCCGTCCATGCATCTGTCTGTGTGTCCGTTCATCCACGTATTCAACACTCCAAGTACCACCATCTCGCATCTTTTCATCATATATTTCTCATAATGAAGCACTGCCATCCAGCGGACACTCCACGGACTGAACAAGAGGAGGCACACGCACACTTCCTTACGGCTTGCGCTTCGTGTCTACTTCCCACCTTTAACCACCTCGAGTTCATGGTATATACTAGTTCACTGTATTCATGGCACTGCCGCCCAACGCTCACGAAACCTTTCTAAAACCTAGGAGGTTACGGCCAGCGAGTATAACGTAGCAACCCTTTCTTGTCTTCTGTGCATTGTTGAACAATAAATGTTCACAGCGTGCGCGTTAACTAAAAGCCGAAATCTCCTGTCACTCATTCCCCCTTAACAGCCATTAGCATGTACATTGAGCACTATCTTTTATTGTTCAACAACGCACAGAAGAAATCTCTCACCGGCACCACCTTGGAGGTCAAAATGTAATACTTGTTACGCACTACGACAACAGCTTCAAGGGACAAACAAGTGCCGCTGCACATGCTTTCTCGTGCCCCTGCGCATAAAGATGGTGCTGCCGCTCCCACAATTGATGTCGAAGTTCATAAAGTTACAGTATTGTGGACACTCGTGAGTGAAAAACCGGCTTCAAAGCTTGCAAGGGCGACCAAGCGTGACGAATATCTTCAGCAGGTACTTCACAATCTTGCGAATGGTTGCACAGTGGAAGGTCCGCTCAAAGCGGTTGCTTCCGAACTCTCAGCTGTCAAAGGCCTCCTGCTACAAGTAACGAAAGTCATAGTACCAAGTACCATGCAATTGGCCATATAAAGGCGCTTTCATGCAGGGCATCTCGGCATTATAAAATGCAAGGCAGGAGAAAGGCACTTGGTGTACTGGCTTAATCTAAATTTTCATATAGAAAGACTAGTTCGCCAGTGTTGGATATGCCCGACTTATGCTTATAAGCAGCCATCAGAAACAATAATCATGCGCCCAACAACGACACAAGCGTGATATCACGTGGATGTCGACATGTTTCAGTATAATGGCTCGCATTAACTCTGTGCTTATGACTGAATGGCAAACTTCCCGAAAGTTTAACTATTACCCAGTACAACACTAACTTCCTCAATACAGTCGTTGGGAGCCATATTTACCCGTTATAGTATACCAATCGAAGTTTGCACAGACAACAGGCTTCAGTTCACCAGTAGCAAGTTCATACTATTCGCTCAGCAATTATATTTCCAGCACTTAACATCCAGTTCAGAGTATCCTCAGTTAAACGGCCTTGCCAAGAAAGGTGTCCAGATAATTACGCGCATCCCAACGTTTCATGGTTACTCTGCTCACTGGACTGCCCGGTTTTCGCACCTATTTGGACGACATCTTTATTATTGAAGCGTCGAATAAAGAGCATATAGATCGACTGAAATGAGTTCTGCAGCTTTTCCGAAAGCCCCGCCGCGGTGGTATAGTGGCTAAGGTACTCGGCTGCTGACCCGCAGGGCGCGGGTTCGAATCGCGGCTGCGGCGGCTGCATTTCCGATGGAGGCGGAAATGTTGTAGGCCCGTGTGCTCAGATTTGGGTGCACGTTAAAGAACCCCAGGTGGTCTAAATTTCCGGAGCCCTCCACTACGGCGTCTCTCATAATCATATAGTTGTTTTGGGACGTTAAACCCCACATATATATCAAAGCTTTTCCGAAAGCCTGACCTTGAAGCACACAAAGAAAAGTGAGTATTTGTTGTACGCGAAATGCAGTTCCTGGCCTAAGCATTGAGCTCTAAGAGCGTAGAGCTAACGGGTGAAAAGGTCGATGCCGTTAGGAGGGCATCAGAACCAAAAAAACAAGGCAAAATTGCAATCTTTCTTAGAAATGATAAGCTTCACAGCCGGTTTCTTCACAAGGCATTCATTATGAAACCTCTACCTCGTTTATTGCACAAAAAAACTACGTGGCTATGGGAAGCTCTGCACAAGGCTGCTTTCAAGAAACTGAAGAACACACCGCGTGAATTCATGGTCCTTGTGCAATATGACGACTCTTGTCTGCTGATACTGAGCTGTGATGCCATGTCTTATAGCTTAGGAGCAATACCTGCGCAGGTGGATGAGACCAGACAAGAACTACCAGTAGTAGCATTTGCATCAAGAACCCCCAGAAATTGCTACAGAAATTATTCTCAGCTCGACAAAGAATGACTTGCAATTGTGTTTGGAATGACGCATTCTCACCAGAACATTCCCTATTGACATGTCCTCATTGTGGCTGAACAAATACCACGTCATGAAATAATGTGCCTTAGCAAACATATTCAGCAATTTTCATATTCAAGAATGCTTTGTTGGTGCGTATTTTGTGTGTCTATGCTGAAGAGTTGATGTACCGAGAAGGGAAAAGACAGCAGAATACACATGCATTCAGTAGATTTCATCTGGCTTCCTATTGCGATGAGCTGATGGCACCAGGGGACACCTTTTAAATGCCGCACTCTGAAGCAGTAGGAAAAAAACTAAAATTATAGTTGATACTTTGCATTGGTCTTCTAAATTAGTTATTATCAAAATTACAACCACATTCACACTGACTAAGCATGTTTTTTTTTAAGTTTCATTTTTGGAACATTGGCACTTCCCATATGCAAAACACATATTTTCTCTGGAACAACTTTTCTTGACTTTTCAGTCGGGTTTCCTTATTGAGCATAACTGAAGAATTATATTTAGCGTCATACGATGTCTCTGAAAAGTATAAATATTTATAACAACCCTTATTGAAAATTTCTTCTTTTATACTACTGGCTGTACTACAGTGAGCAAATCACAAACCCTGGTAAGCGGCAAAGCCTTTCTTGTGCAGCTGCTTTTTGAACTGCTGTCACTGATTCGTTGTATTCTTCTTGCAATCCGCGCACCTTACCTGAGTCGTTGAGATGATGTAGTGGCCATCAGTTTTTCTGTCCTCATGTCTCAGATGAACCCGGGGTCCTGGTCTTACAGTGAGTTTCTGCTTGAGCTGCAGCAAGGACATGGTGACGTCCCGCCAAAAGGCGATGTGTGTCATGGCGGCATCACTATCCTTGTGAAGCTCGCAGTGGAGGAGCCATCCTGCGATGGCAGCCATGTTCAAACCAATGCTGGAAAGGCTCGACCACCATTTTTTGCTCCTCAGTCTCGGTCGATAGCTTCCGAGGAGGTGGTCCATCACATCTACTCCGCCCCTGCCCTCATTGTATTTTCTGATCAATTATGGTTGAATAATGTCCATAATTTTGTTTGAGCGTCGTGAGGAGCGTTTCGCACTTCGAATAGGCTCGTGGCTGAGGTGGTTAGAAGAAACTGTGACGACTGCATTGTCATTCCACCTGCATGCGCAGACTTCCCCGTCACATTTGTAGTGGAAAGACCCTCTTTCTTCTTTTTCGATGTTTTTCAAGCTCTTCAGTGGACAACCACCGGTTCTTGTATCTCGCACAGTCCCTGTCGCTCGATTCCCCTGGTCAGCCAGTTTCGTCAAGAGGCCGTGCGAAGTGAAAAAGTTGTCAAAGTGGACATGGTGATGTTCAGGCGCTTCCAGGACCGATGCCATATTGCTAACAACCCTGATCCCGAGAGTTGTCTTGTCGTCCTTCTCGTTGCTCCCACAATATATTTCCATCGCACAGGGGTACCCATTCGAAGAGCACATCATCCATATTTTGTACCCAAATCGAATTTGTTTACCGCGAATAAACATTTTGCACGAGTCGTGGGCATATTAGGCACCATTGACTCGTCGATGCTAAGGCTTCCATTGAACACTCCAAACTGGCGGAAACATTAGGAGATTTCGTCGTACAACGGCTGAAGTTAGCCCATTTTATCGCCTTCTTTCAACTGAGTGTTGTCAACAACATGAAAGAACCTTTTCAGCTGCCGGAAGCTATTGCGGGCCATCGCTGTCGCGACTATAGGCACACAAAGATCTTCTGCAGTACTCCAATACGAGTCCTCAGACGGAATGGAGTGGTACCCGCTGAAAACCAAGAGGCCGAAAAACTGACCTATGTCCGCTCCAGTGACGTCCACCTCCACCCCATTTTGGAGTGCCTATCTTGCAGTTAGTTCAGTCAGTGAACCAAAATACTCTGGAGAAATAAATTTGCTGAACAGCATAAATGGGCTCATTTTTGCAAGATTAGGAAATGCCTCTAGCAACAACGGAGGACTCTCGCTGGGAAGTGTTTTGTCAAACGTGGCATGGTCACCCCATACTGGTGTATGGGAGCGCTTTGGAGTATTTGTTTTCCGAGCATTCGTTGAAGCTTTGCGTCCTTTTCTAGCAGTGAATTGCCGCCCCGCTGGTTTCTTTCATCGTGGCTCAGGACTCGAACATGCAGAAGCCGAAGCAACGTCTTCATCGCTGCACTGCATAACTTCAACGTGCCCACAAACATAATCGGGAACAACTTCAGAAAAGTCGTTTTCGTTCACGTGCTCCTCGTCAGTTATATTGCCATCTCCAACAGGCGGCAATTGGCATACAGACGCACCTTCGCGTTCGTCATCGGGAAGGCTGAACAAAAGGTCAATTGCTGCCTCCAAAGTGAGGAAGCGTTGTGCCATGACCCACAACGAAAGTTATTGCGGTGTAAAGCACAGTACTACAAAAATAAAACCAGCCGGAAGGTAGTTTTCTACTTACATTCACAGGACTTGATGCAGCTAGGCACTGTAGTTCAATGCTGCTCTTTCCACGTGTCTGGCAAACTCAAAATGACGCCCAGGAAAGCTCATGTTCAAGTTTCTGCCAAGTGCGACCCAGCGGGCGCCATCGACAAGGCAAAGAAAGAAAAAAAAACGGGGCAAAACGCTCGTGTGCGTCTACGCTGCGTTTGACACTGTGAAACGCCAATGTTCCAAAAAAAGGAACATCCGCACAAAACTCACAAGCTGAAAACTAGATTGCCTTTGTTATTTTTTATTGTATTGCCGCGTAATCCTGAACTATTTGTCGATATTTTAGTTCTGCTTCGCTCACTGCAACATTACTTTTTCCTGCGGAATACTGCAACAAACATCTGGTGGTCAAGGAGCGCAAAATATGCCTGTTTTTTAAAATTTATCTAATGATTCTCTATAGGTTCATAATAGAAATCAAAACTGCTACGTTTTTCACAAGCATCAATGAGTATGCGGAAACATAAAATTTTAATATGCGATATATTGGAGAGGAAATAAAAATTGAGGTTTCGTATGTTCCAATTTAGGAACATTGACAAGCAAAAGGTTAATTATTGAAGGAATTGCGAAATCTTCAACTGACTGCTGAGAAAATTGCCAGAATGACAAGGGTAGGCCCCCTCTTTTACAGGTTTCTCATGGGCTACAAACCGAATCAATGGCATCAGAGCACGGGACAAGTTTTCAACCGTACAAGAGCAGGATGCAAGAAGTTCCCACACACAGTGAAAGTCTAATATAGGTCACACGAGTCGTGGCTCCTACACGGTGAGCCAAAATGGCCAAAATAAATGCAACAGGTGCTTTAGGTCTTTGAGATGAACTGTTACTCCTCAAGAAGACCGAGCGAGACAAGATGGCTGACATGTGCAACAACGGAGGACCAATCGTATTAGTCTTCATTTCGTAAGGAAGCAATGGGAGGAGGAACGAGAGTAATTTGTCGCATTCTGCACCGGTTACTCCCCTGAAGGGCACTGTAGACAAATATATATATGCGCCCACATCTATAGTCAGGGTCTAGATTTTTGGTGCTCTGAACAGCTCCAAATTAAAACCTTTGTTCGTTCTAGTATCCGCAGATAATAAAAGCAGTGCTGGCTGACCACAGAAGACCTGCGAATACAACTCCCGCAACGCGTGTAACACGTGCAGGAGCAGCATAGAATGTCAAAGCCGATCAAAAGTCGAAACCCTTGCAAAACGACAATTAAAAAAAACAGCGCACACACGCTGCTCGTCTCCTTAGGAATGGTGTCAAAACCAATCAAACCCCCCTCCCCGCCCGCAGAAACATGTGCAATTGTCTTTTAAAACCAGAAAAAAAATGAAGCAAGTCCCAACCCACCTTAACTCAGCCGCACAGCTCAATAGTACACCTTAAGATGAAGTGTGAGTGCAAAATGACAAACCTGCTTGCGCACAAGTGTGGCACCAGCATAGCAAGTGATGTAGTCCTTACAGAGATATTACTAGTTAATATTTTCTGCATGGTAGTACTATATAAAAACTTATATACAATATGATGTTGAATATTTATACATCGAGGACAAGTAACTGTTTAGTGCAATAGGACACCACACTAAAAGCATTGCACTTACGCCCATGCTTCCACCCCTCGAAGATTTTTCGGCGCAACTATGTTCGCGTTTGCACTACTCATATTTATATTGCCACAGGCATGGAACGAGGTTTAGCCATGCCAATGCGAGTATGTGCCATGGTGTGAAAAAAGAAGAGGATGGTTGGGTGCTCGTGCTCTAACGTTCGGTTCGGCTCGACGTCCAGTGCTGCTCCTGTGAACAGACGTTGTGGTCACTCTGTAATCACATGACATTTTCTGGTGGAGGTGTGGGGTAGTGTTGTATGCACTGCAATCAGCAGCAAGGTCCCGACACTAGCCGCGACTTGGAAGAACCAGCTGACCTACGGCGTAGCAGGCGACAACTAGGCCTACCTCCGGAATTCGGACCATTTCCACAACTCGACAGTACTATGGCTAGTGCGGGAACGCAAACCCAAGAAACATCAACGCTGCCTCCTTCATGGTTCTTCAACGTCCCGCGAACTCCGAAGCCGTTCCACGGTGACCCTTACGAGGACGTCGACGACTGGCTTGACGACTACAACCGTTGCGGCAGCGTGAACGAGTGGAACGAGCAGCGAAAGCTTCGGTATGTCTACTTTTATCTCGAGGACTCTGCGCGCACTTGGTTCGAAAACCATGAAGCCACTATGACAACCTGGCCAGAGTTTTGCAACCAGTTGCTAAATACCTTCCGAAGCTCTGACCGAAAGGAGCAAGCGGAACGGCTCCTCAATTCCCGAAACCAGCGTCCGAACGAGAGTGTTGCCATGTTCGTTGAGGACATGTCGTGGCTGTTCAGGCGAGCCAACTCCTCAATGAAGAGGAAGAGAAGAAGGTGCGCCTCCTAATGCGGGGAGTGAAAGAGCAGCTGTTCGCGGGACTAGTGCGGAACCCTCCCAGCACTGTAGAGGATTTCCTCCGCAAAGCCACGACAATGGAGAGAATGCTAAGGCAGCGTTCGTACCAGTATGAGCGTCCTGGCAGTCTTTCGTCAGTGTCGTCGGCCCTGCCAACACCTGACGTCACGACTGTAAAAGACCTGACGGAGCTCGTGCGCAGTATTGTGCGCGAGGAGCTGCAAAAGCTGCACGTGGTGTCTTCTCCGCCCCATATTGCTGCTCTAACGGATGTCGTTCGCGAAGGGGTCCGGCAGCTGGTGCACCCCATGACGACTCTGCATGCAGCCGAAGTCCAACCCATGATGGCCCCGCGTCCAGCCGAAGCTCCGCTATTAACGTAAGCGAAAGCACTACGTACTCCTGCACCGGCTGTTGGCTATCCGTCCCGTCCGTCCACCCAACAGACGGCACCGTCGTTCTACTCGGGACCAACGCAGTAGGGCAACCAACCTCTTACACGGAAATCCAGTGTATGGCGTGCTCCCGACAACGGGCCTCTATGATATCACTGTGGTGAGCCAGGTCACATCTACCGTGAGTGCGCCTACAGGCACATGGGTCTTTCTGGCTTTCACCCGGATGCTCGTCGACCCAAAGATGGTGAGCGGCCCCGTGCTATCGCCGAATACTTGGCAAGCCAACGATCTTCAACCCTTCCGCGTCGCCAATCCCGCTCACCATCTCTACGGCGTTCCACGTCACCTGGCCAACAATCGACCTTTGCGGACGTCCTTGCAGGAAAATCGCCTAGATCCACAAGCCCGCGCCGGGGAAACTAAGAACAGCGACCTCTGGGGGTGAGGCCGCTGTCGATCGACCGTTACAAGACCCTCTCCCGATTCGCCTGCCGACATCCGACGACATTCTTTCACCGACGTGTGCCATCGACGACAAACGGGTCTCTGCTCGTATCTCTGTCCTTGTCGACAACCACCCGCTGACCGCTCTGGTAGATACGGGTGCCGATTATTCTGTTATAGGCGCTGACCTCGCTGCACAGCTAAGAAACGTAACGACACCTTGGCGACATGGAACCAACCTCCGGACTGCGGGAGATCACCTATTGACACCGCTAGGAATGTGCACTGCCCGCCTCCGAATTCGTGAGTCGGCGTACATTGTTTCCTTCGTTGAAGTGCGCGAATGCTCCCAAAACCTGATTCTTGGAATGGATTTTCTCCACGAGGATGGAGTCATTATTAACCTTCGCGACCTGCTCATAACATTATCTAACGACCATACAGCCCTACGAAAGGATGCAGTTGCGCCGACCACAACACTTCGAATTGCTAGCGACACCATCGCACTGCCGCCGCGAGCCAGTATGTTGGTAACTGTGGAGAGCGACCATGACAACAAGAGTAGTGGCATCGCGGAAACTAACCTCTTGGTGCTCTTGGCTCGGCAGATTTGTGTCGCGCGCGCTACCGTCAAACTGAAACATCGGAGGACTCAGCTTCTGATCACGAATTTTGGTGGCCAGTACCAACACTTGGCAAAGCGAACAGCGATCGCGAACTTTGAAGCCATTGATGAGGAAGAATGTTCCACTATCGCTCCGATTGCCACTGCTGCCGAAGGTAACACTGCATTAGCCAGTACAGTTGGCGTGAATTGCCAGCTATCCTGTGCGCAGCAACAGAAAATGCGCATGATTTTACGTACGTATAGTGATTGCTTTGCGTCCACCTCCAAAATCAAGCAGACCCCAACCGTGAAGCACCGCATTATAACGGACCCTACCAAACGGCCTGTACGACAGCACGCCTACCGCGTGTCGCAAAAAGAACAAGAGGCAATACGGTTTCAGGCGAAACAGATGCTCGACGACGACGTCATCCAACCCTCGAACAGTCCAAGGGCGTCACCCGTCGTACTTGTTAAAAAGAAAGACGGCACTCTTCGATTTTGCGTCAATTACCGGAAGCTCAAGAAAGTGACGAAGAGAGACGTCTACCCTCTCCCACGCATAGATGATTCACTGGATCGACATCGACATGCCCGATATTTTTCCTCAATGGATTTACGCAGCGGCTATTGGCAGATCGAGGTCAATGAACGTGACAGGGAAAAATAGCATTCATAACTCCCGGTGGCCTTTACGAATTCAAAGTGTTACCATTTGGATGGGGCTCTGCACCGGCAACGTTCCTAAGGATGATGGACACCGTCCTGTCCGGTCTGAAGTGGGAATCCTGCCTCGTGTATTTAGACGACGTCGTTGTTTTTTCCAAAACATTTGAGCGACATTTACAACGACTTCAGTCCGTCTTCGTCGCTTTTCGATCCGCAGGCCTATCGCTAAAACCGAAGAAGTGTCATTTCGGCTACGAAAAACTAAAGTTCCTCGGCCACCTTATCAGTCACGATGGCATTAGACCAGACCCAGAAAAGAC